CCTATTCGTCGCATTCGAATACGGGTCAGAGGCGAAGTTGATCCATCATATCACTAAGAGTATTTTCGTATTTCTGTATGAACTCTTCTGCCTCTTTCTGTGACTTAAAGGCCTTGTGGCACGAATATGGGTACTTCGTGATTTCTTTTTCAGCACCATCACTATGATAGAGTCAAAAATACTCATCGACTTCATTAACAAAAGAGAAGCTTACTGGTAGAATTCATACACTCCAGGGCTTCTACCGGCTGCCACAGCATAATAAGCTACCTCGCCTTTTCCAGGCGCTCTTTCACCTTCTGCACCATCATCCAAGAATTCATAATTGTAACATTCGTTGTTCTCCATAAAGGACTTAGCTTCATTCAATGTTTGAAATCCTTTGTATTTGGCATTGCTATAGCCACTGACTTTGAGGTGGGTTACAGCCCTGTTAAAATATGGCTAGTATATCAGGAAGCTTGTTAGTTCATGGCTGGACACACCATGATGAAGATATTGCAGGAGCATCACGGCCTTTGATAATTGCGTAGTAGTTCTTTTTAGTATGTTTCGCCATATTCAGAGCATGAGATGTACTCTGTCAATTGAATGCACCAAGGCGAGCAGCCGAACAGAGCGAGAGGTATAGTAATTTTTCAAGCTAATATTCCCTTTTGTTACACGAAAGAAAGAGGCATAGTAGGGATTAGTAGCGAGGCTGCCACGTCAGCAGTATTAAGTATGGCATGATGGTCATGATTTGTTTGGTCAGAGATCTGACCTTTCATTACGTGCTATTACAAAAAGCAACCTTGATGTACGACCTTCCAAAAATTGTGCATAGAGGTTTAATAGAAACTTGTTTCTGGTGTGTGTAGTGGCCCAGGTAAGAGTAGGTGACAAATTGAGTATATGCCCGCCGTAAGCACGAATCAATGTTCGACAATGAAAGCGGAGCTTTTCAATCATTGCTGCATACTGACTGCAACTAGGCTGCGCAACGGGTACCCGCGGGGCGGATTATTGGCCTGGCGGGTCCCCCGCGGGTCCTCCGTTTGCGGGGCGGATAATTTTGAAAGCTCAACGGGTCTAAAATATCATCAACGGGTCCTCCGCGGGGCGGAGTATCTGCGGGTCCCCACGGGTAGCGGAGTATTTCTGCGCAGCCTAACTGCAACCCAAGTGAGTTTTCATTTTCGAGTTGTTAGTACCAACAAAGCTAATTAACGCAGAACATGTTCGAAGAGTTCGGATCTGCATCAATGTAATAAGGATGAGACCAAGGATGAAGAGGGGGATGAGACCAAGAGGCTAGTGACAGTAGCGAGCTCGATGTGATGAAAGAGCAGAAACATCTACTGCAGACATGCCTGAATCAGTAGAATCCGGAGACAACGAGGACACCCAGATCCAAAAGATAAGTGCGGTATAATCTCTATGATTATGCCGAGTTTGAAAGGCTGCCGCCGTGCTTCGCATAGTTCTCCTTAAAAGTGACCAGGAAGTTGGGCGAACCTTTAAGTATCGTAAGACGTTTTGAAGCAGTATCTGGCACGACAGAGAAGGAAGTCCGCGAGTTCACTTCTGGCATTTATCATCACCTTTCATCCGTAACTTATCTCGTACTCATCCTACGATCGTGCAATAACATCATTCTGTAGCATTTATTATAGGTAAACCTCATCGAATCCGACCCAAACTTCATCTTTTGCCCACTGCCTAGAGCGAACCATCATTAAACGAAACGCCATGCCTTCCGGCTCAGCCACTACGAAGCCTATTGAATCTCCTACCAACCTCCAGCCCAAAAATAAATCTATCTCACAAATGGTCAAAGGCGCAGGCTTCAAGGACTTGACTCATATGATGTATTCTTCTGGCCTGAAGAGACACGATGAAGCAGACGTTCAAGAAGCCAAAGCTATTCTAAACGCCTGGAAGCAGGCAGATCAAAAGGATTGTGAAGCATCACAGAGAAAGTAATTATGCTATTGGTAAAGAAGCTAGAGCAGAAACATACCAAACAAGCGCTGATGTTATTTCGTTTTCAGAGACCATTGATGAGCATCCGAAGTGGCAAGAGGCTCACATAGAGGTGGAAGAAATATGGTTTCGATTAGGCGATACTGTTAGGAAATGGAGTGGACGGGTTGAAGTTGAGTGGGTGTAGGGAGATAGGTTGAATAAGGAGTGTTTTGGAAACATCTTTCTCCAATTTTTTCTTCTCTTCTCTTCTCTTCTC